AGAGATCCCATTTCCCCATCCCTGCCTGCTGTCATTGCCCAGAGCATTTTGTCAGATTTCCTGAAACTAATTTTAAAATGGTTTATGTCAAACCAGTTAGACTGGACTATAATGGACAACCAATCAAACTGCCATTTCTGTATCCTATATCAAAGGGTCAGGAGATTTTGGGTGCAATTTGAGTATGGCTTGCTTTGTTCTTAATAAAATGCCACAGATATTAATTATATACTGTATTAAATTATGTTAGATGTTGAGATGTTCGCACGTAATTTAAATAATGACATTTTGTATTATTTACATTTTTGGTTGAAGAATTCGACCAACTTATATTTCAATTTTGGCGAGACACTTCGTTCTTATCATTATCAACTTATCAACACTGTGGTCTAAGTACACTTATTTATTGCCCAGAAGAAAAATATTAAAGATTGCACACCATGCAGGTCTTTGTTTCTTTAGACCCAGAGGGGAGGGGAACTCTCTAAATATATAGCTCTTGTTGGAATGCTTGTCAAATCTTTTAGGGTTTTATAAGAAAAATCCCCACAAAGGTAGTCACTACTGATAGTACCTTTTGATGACTATTTGAGGGGTTTCCTAGAGATGATTTCAGGAGCCAAGTAAGTTCCAGGAGAAGCCAGTGATAGGAACTTAAAATGCAGAACCTGTACTACTAGTTAGTACATCAACATGTACATGTAGGGGAAGTTTGGTGTAATTATGGTCAGAGAAGATATGTTTTTGTAAGGGTTAAAATTAACATGTGCACCAAGTGAGACTCTGGTACTGTTCCTACAAAAAGCCCTGTTTAGAAATTTGAAAGACCATTCCTTTCACAGGTTTGGGGGTACCACACCCCTCCCCTACCCAAATCACCTGTGGAGTGAATGGGGCTGATCAAAGCTTGTTACCGAGGTAACCTTTTTTAATTAGTTAATGATTGTGAGGTTTTTTCTGCAGAATCGTTCCTTAACAGCCCTGAGTTCACCACGTTGAGAGTTGACAGCAGTTGTGAACTAAGACTGGTGAGTCCAAGTTGTTAATTATTAGCTAAAAGTAATTTTTGTAAGGAAGCCTCGTGAACAATGAACATTTTCTTTTTTTGGATTCAGTTCCCTATCTACAGCCCATAAAGGTTTGTTTTTTACGCTTCAAAAAAATTATGCATATCCTTACCATATTTGCAGAGCATGGTACAAATAAACAATAGCCTCCATTTGGTGCAAAAATGTGCTCAGGTATTTATCTGCGGACATTATCTGTTCCGAGAAGCAAACAGTTTTGTGAGAGCGTAGCTTGAGGAAAACTGTGAGCTTCGAAGAACAGATATTGTCCAAGGGCAAATATCTGCGCATATTTTCGCACTAAATGGAGGCTATTGTGTTTATCATAGACATTATTCAAATCCTTTTCGCAACACGTATAGTTTTCAAAATTGGGGAATATCACTCGGATATTCCGCAGTATTAGCTGGAGCATATTCAGTCTTGTGCAAGCGAAAATGTTTGATGGATTATAATATTATTGCTCACATACCATGATGGCAAAGCCAATGAAAACTCTTGAGTTGCATTATTCAATGATCCTGTTTTTAACAAAGATACATAATTATATATCCTCAATACAGGGCGTTGTTGGGAGTTCAGTTTCTGGCAAGTCTGACTTATTGCACAGATATCTAACTGGTGAGTACACCAAGGTGGATTCGTTTACTGGACGCCACAAGAAGGAGGTGCGTCTTGATGGACAGAGCCGCTTGTTGCTGATCAGGAATGAGACTGGCCCCCCTGATGTACAGGTATCGAATAAACCCAGTAACTAGTATGGCGTATGTATGTGTTCTGGAAATTTGGGAAAGTCCTGGAATTTTTTCTGGCATTTTTTCAAGGACAACAGGAGGTGACAACTCCTTGATTGATAAATTGAGAGACAGCAATTTTTTTGGCAGGGAAATTATAAAAGAAATTGTGTTGAGTTTGGAGATTGGAAAAAAATTTCTGGGAATGTAGAAATAACATACAATGTAAAATGGTCTTAAACAAATATTTATTTATTAATTAAAAGTTGTTACCCCCTTAGCAGTGGGAAAACCAGGCATCTTTTGAGAGACCATTTGGCAGGCCCAGGAGCAAATCGATGAATCTGCAATAAGAAAATTATACAGCATTACCTCAGATTAAAAATTTAATTAAGCATCTTGTACAAGCAAACAGCAAAAATTAAAGCAAACGACAAACCTGTATAGTAATACTAAACGAGGGAGAGAACCTTACAGTGAACCTCATCAATCAAGGATTTATCAGACTAACTTGATACAAAAGATGAACGCGCACTACAAAATATTATTAAATATATCGCACCGGTATAGCATAAATTGCATGGCGTTACTGAAGCTCTGAGCATTATTCTCCGTTATTAGCGAGCAAAAATACGCAAGGCTACAACATTTGTAAACCGCTTAGATTGAAATAGTCTACTTTTCCGCTCGTTTTTCCTTAAAATGTCGATTCATGTTCGTGGCTACATTTGACTCGTCTGCTCACCCCACCGGCTCTCCTAATCAGTAGCGTGTTTTGTGATTGGACAAGAACATATCACGTGATGCACCTCAAGGCATTGTAATAGTTAACAATTTTTTCAAAAAAATTTGGAATTTCGTCTGGAACATTCCATTTGAGAAGAATGTGTTTTGTTTGAAATTGGGCATGGCCGTGAGAGCCAAAGGGTTTGAAACAGGTGTAAGCGATACAAAACACTAAATCCGAGTTCGCTTGTGCCTCTGTTTGAAATGTCTTCGTGTAAACATGAGTTTCATTTGCATGAAAATGAACATGTAGGGCGAACATATTTTCATATATGAATAGTTTTGCATGAAGACTCGTTTTGACACAGAGGCAAAAGGCAACTCGGAGAATGGCCTATTGAACATTTGGAAAGGCTCAACTGAGAAAACGGGACTACCTTCTCGACCCGTTCCCGTTTGTCCCGGGCATTTCCTGGTGGACTAAACTGAAAAGACGTGTTCCATGTAACATCCCAGTTGGAATTTACGCAACCACGGGCAGGCAGTAGGTTTCGTGCGATAAATGTACGCGTGCCTTACACCGACCAGAGTGGTGGCGCATGAAAACTCGAAACCAATATTATTTTTATGATTTTTTGAGCGCAACAAAATACGCAACGCGTACAGTTAACCCTACGAAAAAAACAAAACAGCGAATTTTGTTTCCCCTCAGCCGAATATAATCCTCTTTAAGAGATCCTCCCTGGGAAACCCCGAGGGTCTTGGGGAAACAAAACTTGCTGTTTCTCTCGGCAAATTACTAAAGCCCTTTGTAGTAACCAAGTTAATACGTATTTTTTTCTCCTCCTTCACAGTTTACTCAGTGGGTGGAAGCTGTGATCTTTGTTTTCAGCTTGGATGATGAGCTCAGCTTTAGTGTTTTGTCAGGGTACTACGCTAAAATGGCTCAATACAGAAAATACATCTCTGATATTCCTGTGGTTTTGGTGGCCATAACTGGTGAGAATGCATGCTCAACACATTATTGACGTCTGTCTTTGTACTCATGTAGTCGAGGAGAACAAGTGCCGTTTTTTTGCAAATTGTCTTTAAAGTCAACCGCTCTCTCGAGTCTGGTGTGTGTTCCTCCCCGAGAAGAGATTTCAGGGAAGGAGCGCGGACCAAACGGTGGCTGTTAATCGAGCCTTCTTTGAAACTCGCTTGGAGAATTTCCGAGGCTTCTAATTTCACCAATTGATCAATTAAAATACAGTACACCAGTGCGACTCGACGAGAACACATNAATCCAGAAATAGAATTTTGTGTCATACTCAAAAAGGAATATCCAAGGTGAACATTGTTATTATAGAAGGAATAATGCTAATATACAGTGACATGTTAGTTCATTGGATGTTGATTGACCTTATCACTATTGTCAACAGTTAATACAAGATTATGAGATTTTTATCATTGCTTTGAATTTAATATAAAGTTTTCATATCCTGCCGTTTCACGAAAGGCACCTGTTGAAATTGAAGTTGTAACTATATAAGAAAGTACCAGACTTGATTTTTCAATTCTACCGACACCTCAGTTCACTTTTTCTTGGGACGTAGATTCTTTTTTCACGTTCAATGTGCTTGGAGGCAGATATTCTACAATGCCAGGGTTACGCAAACCAAGTATCTTTGATTCCTTTCTACAGGACATGAGAAATGGTATGGGTATAAGGCTGTTTTTGTAAGCTCTCAGCTTATTCAAGATAATGTTGTAATTTTAAATTTACAGAATATCCTAGTAAAAGCAAACTTATTTCTCAGGTGATTGAAGTACATGACATGTTTACATATATCTAAGAAAGTCCTTTACGCATGTCAGGAAATGTATATAAACCTGAATAAAACTGAGAACACCTTTTAAATGAATTTGCTGTGGAGACACTTTAACTGTGTGAAAATATGTAGGGACCACATGCAGCTAGGATGAATCACAGAAATTTAAAAACATTCCCGGCTAAAAAATATTTTATAAAAACAAAAGCCTAAGTGGCTGTCTTTGAGGCTGAAATGTGATGTAGACCCATTGAAAGCATTGAAAACCTGAGTTGATTTCTAGCCAGGGAACAATATTAAATTTTTCTTTGAATCTGGTTTGTCAGATGTACATAATATACTGAGGTGTTTGGTGATTTGAAAATTGTCATGTAATGAAACTAGAAATTGCAGGGGAAGGAGGAGGGTTACTTTAACATTGCATGAGATCAAAGTGGCTGACCAATTTCTGCCATTGTTTATGACTGTTACTCAGTCACATTGCACAGATTCAGCATTTCTGTTGGCAATTGTCAGAATTTCAGGGTGTGTACATTCCTTTGGGATGATCTTGATAAAGATCAATGAGCCAAGATCACTTGCATTATGGTGCAAAAAAGGAACTGATGAATCAACTCTGGGTAAGGATTCATCAGTTCCTTTGACACACCATCATCTGAGTGATCTTTGATCATTGATCCTGCTTTAATTTGGGTGATCTAAAACAAACACACCCTTGGGTGCTAACCTGGGTGTGACGGCTATTTTACTAATCTGAAAGATCTTTCTCTTTGCAGCTATTGAAAAGCTGATTCAAGCCAGGGGAGAGACAAGTCCTGTTCTGACATCATTTGACCCAATCCACTCTCCTACTACTAAGGAACCTCCTGATCAACTGCTTCCAAATGTCCCGTCATACAGCCCCATCCATAGCGGCACCAACAGCGCAACATCTACACCGTCATCTTCCACAAAAAGGTCATCAAGAAGGAGGACGATGCTCTTCAGTTCATCGGTATGTACTGTTTCAAAGGGGCCTTATTCTCAACATATAAATTCTCACATCAGTCCTCATACCCTTTGTTTGGTATAGGTTGGAAGAATTTGTTTTGTCATATTTGTAGATACAAAGTAATTGTAGAGATGATTCTGAGAGGCTAGTTTAAGAATGCCATATTTCTGTTTAGTTCAGAGTGCATCATGTCTAGTAACATTTTAGCTCAGTTAAAAGAAATTTTTGTACAGGTTTTACAGTGAGCACACTTGAACTGTGAACACTGGACAATTTTTTGTATACTTTTAGAGACCATAAAACGAGGGATCTTTTTACATGTATGAACAGCGTTATTTTTTAACACTGTAAAAATGCTTATCTGAGAGATTACCGGTATATGATGAACCTGAATTCCATAGTCACCAAAAAAGACAAAAAAAAAATGTCTTTGCTGTAACATGCTGAAACAAAGTCCATTTTTGTTTAGTTTCTCTACCAACAATTTCTGTTAATTTAGATCTATAATAATAAGTTCCCCAGTTATTAAAAGTTGAGGATGATGGAGGCATGTTCTTGTTGTGTGGTTAGTTGTAAAAAATGCACGGTTCAGTTTTACAGTGTTGGAGACCTCACTTGTACTAGCTTGCAAACATCAAGATTTGCAGCTATTTTATTGAAGCATTGATAATTAAAAGCAAATTCTAGAACAAAGATCATTGTTATTGTAACAAATTAACATTAATCCATAAAATGTGTTTCTCTTGAAAGTATCTTGTGAATATTACTGCAGTTGATCAAAATTTGCAGCAGCAAATGATAATAATAGTCTTGATTTACAAGATTTGAACAGGAAACATTTCTATTTTTAATTATTACCAATTTATCCTTTTCTAATTACAGAAGGAAAAGAAAGAGAAAGACATAGTGGTGGATACAGATGTTGGGAGTGGCAGATCAATTCCTATAAGACAGGTAAACGGATTATCTTCCTTTACCTTTACCTTTGTTGAGTTAATAAAACAGGTGAAGCGTCACACTAACTGTGTGCAATTAAAATAGTTGAATAAATAATAGGAAGAAGAAAACATGCTGATGAAATGTTGAACAGGAAAAAATGGGTTAAATTAGTTCATAAAAGCAGGTACTTTCTTTTTGAACATTGTGAGCGATGGAGATGTCAGTAGCTGCATCAGCTGTGAGCTGGTTCCAGTCCATTGAAGTTCTTGGGAAAAAGGAAAATTCCTAAATATAGTGCTTAAAACTGTGGAAATTTGGTGATGTATTAACCCTCTTCAAGCTCTAATGTCCGGCATACAAGTTCTCCTTGTTGGTGTTCAGCAATTGATATATTTTGAATTTTATTTTGTGTGGAGGTAATTCTTGGCACCCCATCCCCCCACCTGCCCCACCTCCTTTAGCCTCCCCTCAGACTGGCTATCCAATAATTTTGAGATGTATTCTCTCCAGTGGGTTACATTACTTCTGGAATTTGCAGTTAGAAGCAATGTAATGATGTGACAGATTTGCAATATGTATTGATTTCCCGGTCAATATTGTCAGGGTTATCTTCTGAAGAGAAGTTCCAGCTCAATAAACAAGGAATGGAAGAAGAAATATGTAACATTACTCGAAGATGGCGTACTCGCTTATTATCCAAATCTACATGTAAGTGCAGCGTGCATGTAATATTATTCTTGTTCTTTTGCCCACAGTTTTCGTCTCAAACCCAAAAATAACCTACTCAAGTGTCAAAGCTTGTGATATTAAGCCCTTCTCTCCTGCTCTGTATTGTTCATGGGCTTATTTCTCAAGGAGTAGTATATTGCATCTTCAAATTAAAATACATGTAAGCCCTCTTGCTGAAGACCTGCTGTGGATTTGCATTCTGTATAATGTTACAGTGCAACCCTTTCAAAATATTTTGTAATTAGCAGGCAAGATAGTGAATTAGTGAACTCTGATGTGATATAAGGAGCAAATAATTCACTGTAGGTGGTAAAATTATTGCCAGCTGCCAGAAGATGTTGGCAGGGTCAACAATGTGTTTGAATACAATATTATCCATTGAAAAGCAATGATATTATAATGATATTATGTTATTTGTGTTGGGTTTCATAGTGTCGTATCATGGCCTTTTAAAATTTTACCACATGCTTCTGAAATTGTTTGGACACAGGAATGGTTTTCAAATAAAAAGTTCTTCTACAGGTAACCCCAACCACACTTCCACTAATGAGAACAGAAATATCAAAGAAAAACAGAAATTATGGTCTTTATAACCTTTCAACACAGTCTATTTTTTACGAAGTAATTTTTGGCAAATTTGACTTTTTATCTGATAAGTACAAACAGTGAGTCAAGTTTTCCATTGTAAATTAGGATGGCATCAATATTTCTTTATTGTTAGGATTACATGGATGATGTTCATCAAAAGACAATATTATTAAAACACACAACGGTAAAGGTGCCTGGAAAAAGACCACCTAAGGCGACCACTCCTGGACAAGGTAGGACATTTAAAGTGTAGTTGCTATTTAGTTATCATTGTTTTCTGGGGAGCTGAACAATGTACTTTGTCAATGCCTTTCTATGCTTGGAAGTATAACTGGGTTGCGTCAAACTACTAAGATAGCAGGCTTGGCCTGACGAAATGCTTAGGGGGAATTGTGACAGCCTTGTCTCCCATCTAGGTGTAAATCAATATGTGCCCTCCAGCCATATAGTTACAGTACCTTAGTTTTGCCTATATGCCTTGCCTTACACGTACATTACCAGCACTGTCATTAAGGACCGTAACCTGTAACACTGGTTATGGCTGAGTACCGGTATGCTTGATTTTCCCTTGATGCTACGGGTGAAATAACCTGTTGTTGATAGAACTCACCCACCAACTAACAAACTTGTTTGCTACAGGTGTGGAGTCTGAACAAGGTACAGGTGACTCAACGGCAATCCTACCTTACCTTTCCTTTACCTGCCAGCCCTGTTTCCTTCCCTATGTACTTTACAACACTGTACCATATGCAGGCATTGATATTAACAGTTACTGGTATCTGTTTACTAACAGGAAATTCAAGACCGACAACTCCTGTGGAGTCTGATAATAACAATAGCGGGACTGAAACTGTAGGAACAAACAGTGTAGATGGTGCACAAAATGGAATAGACTCTTATACAGGATACAACTCACTTCCAGCTCAACATGACATTGACAATGCACTCGCTAGTATAGGCAATCAAGTAATAACTCCCGCATCAACAAGTGTCGTTGCAAACACGACAAAGACAGATTCATCAAGCATGATCAAGAAAAAGAATAAAAGAAGTAAACACACAAAATCTTGTGAAATAGACTACGAAGAGCTTGAAAAAGCTCTGGCTCTTGCTGCGGCCAATGCAGTAGTTCCGGCTGGTTCCCGGATGGATCAGATGGGAGTGACTGCAGGCAGTACAAAGAAGAAAGGTCACAGGCGTGTCAAGAGCGGCAGTGGACCTAAAGTTGATTTAGATCCAGGTAATCATTCAGATTTATCTAGGCATATACTATGGAGTTGATAGACATCTCACCACAAGTCCCTCTGAGGTTAGAGTGCTTGCCTGGAACCTGGCAGATCTTGGGTTCTAATTCTGTCAGAAACTTTTATTTTTTCTTTGTACTGCTCTTGTGATATGCTGAACATTATATCTGTCACATTTATCTGGCTCTTTGCATGCACTGCAATTCTATGATAGAAATTTTCTCCAGATTTCCTGATTTTTTAGCCTTGGCTGATATTTTGTGTTGTTGCAATTTTATGATAACATTAAGTCGTGTTTTGAAAGGTACAAAATTGCCTTCCATTTGAAATAAACCTCTTATTTAAGTAATAATAATTGTTGAGTGAGGTTGAAAAGCACCTACTGCTACTTATTAAGGTAAAGTCTGTGTTGAACTAAGAGGTCCATACTGCCGTTTTGGTAGCATTGAAGGCAAGGAGTATATCTACCCCCCCTGGATGGGATGCTGGGGTACATACATACATGCCTCAGGTATTTAAACAGGGTAAAATTTTCAGTGACACATTATATTGATAAAAAAGAAGTTCACTTATGATTACACTGTTTTACAAGATTGCCATTTGGGAGCCACACTGACAGTTGCTGTAAACTCGGTCAGGGTGGAGAGAGGTTTCTTGACCGAGGTGTCTTGCCCAAGATTATAACACAGTGGCCCTAGCCAAGGGTTGAACCCGGACCTCTCCATCAGGAGATAGTGTACTAACCATTAGGCCATTGTCCCTCCCTGTTACAAAACAGAAAATTAACAAGGATGGAGTCAATTATGGGGAAGATTAGGGGGATTAAGATTGAGTGAAAAATTGAGGCAACATTTTGCTTTGACAGCAGATAGAACATAGAAATAAGCAAGGTCTCTTTTAAAACTTTGTCGCAGAAATGACGGACTGGGAGTTCACCATTGTGTCATTAGAAGCTAAATCATGGCAGTTTGCAGCAGCCACACAAGAGGTAGGTTAACCTTAGGTATGTGATGCATGAAAAGATGTCATCTGATCGGAGAAAACAAAAGTCCAGAGCCAGTCTCAGTCGTTATTCCTCCAGCGTATAGCTGGCATAACCTACGAGGCCTGGACGCGAGTGGTTCATTGACTGGCTTAAATCTCCCACGTTCAGTGCAGTTAAGTAAAATAGTTCTTTTAAACTTAACCTCCTTCAGTCAGTTATTTTTTTCCTTGTTGTTGTAGGAGCGAGATGCCTGGGTTCAGTTAATAGAGCAACAGATTTTGTCTTGCTTACAGTCAAATGAAAGCGGCAGAGAAAAGGTATGATGTTACTAACACAACAAATTTGAAATATTCATTGATGAAGTTAGCACCAAAGTAAAGTGAAATACATGTAAAGTAATCTTTATTGTTACAGGGTGGCCCGTTCAGCTCAAAGGCTGGTATCCATAGGGGCCCTGTAAATTTAAAATTAACTAAGTATACATTACAAATCTATCCATAACATAGCACTATGTAGCCTCATACTTTAATCTTTAGTGTACAATGTTTAAGAGGGAATCTTGATCAGTGAATGCTATGTTTTTTGCACGGTTAACACTATCTTCCCATTATATTTCCTTGAGTTATTATCATATTACATCATCTCACTGTCTTCAGGGCTGTTGAATTCAAAACACCCGTTTATTTGTTGTTTAAAGTGGAAAATTCAGATCAGATTTTCACGAGTGTATCCCAGAGTCACTAAGAATTCTTTCCTGTCCTTTTTAGAAGTTGCATGCGTATCGCTTTGAAAAAAGTTAAATTGTAACGTTTGTTGAAGAAGATACAGTGTTCTTTTTTTTTTCGTGTTGGACTAGAGGTATTTGAGGCCACTTTATTTTGTCCTGGGTCAATTAAAATTCAAGCAAACGTACCCGATAGCCACCAAGAGCTGGAATTGATCTTAGGCCAGGAGACTCCGAAAGTTTTGACCGTGATAATGAAAGAGTTTTCGTAAAATGATTTCGTGTTGTATATATTCGTGAAATATGATGTTCTCTACCCATACGTGTGTTAGTTGTTACCCTGTCGAGGGTAACAGTAATTTGCCTGCGAATGCACCAAACAGCTTGATTATATCACGCCACTCGGAGTGAGTCCTTACAGCATCCGAATCCAAAACCCTTTAGAATGAATATAGCATAATTTTGCCGAACTATTTTTGGATGCTATTATGAGACTGACGATCCTTTATCTATACGTAATAAGCCAGTTAGTAAACTATTTTAAAAAGCACTTTACCAGTTTTGTTCGGTATTAATAATTCTAACGTCAGTCCTCTCTTATACTGGTTTAAAAGAAATGTATTTAATTAAAGGGCATACAATTAGGATACTATATTTTGCCCTTTCCAAGTCTTTTTCGTTACACTTATTTGTTAACGATATTGTATTTATGTCGTCAAGTGGAGAAAAAAAATACAAATGTTAATACTTCAAGAACAAAGTTTGTGTTGCAGGAGTTTCCCAGCCGGTACAATTGAAAACTTGGAAAGATCCTGTTTTCTAGATTATTATATTAAAAAGCAACGGGTAAAATTCATACGATTGCAACGTGAACAACATAAAAGGGGAAGTTATAATTTAAAGGGTTTTACGGGTATCCTTCTTAAACCGTCAAACATTTTTGCATATATAGCAAGAATTCTAGGCAATAAACCTTGCAAATAAAATTCTATACGTGCTATATTTTCGCTTGTGAAAAAAGCGATACGTCTAATCAGCTTCGCGTATAGCGTTCTTCACATGGGAAAAATAATATATAGATTTAGGCCAGCCTAAAAGCGTAGCTCCTGGGCCGGGTTGTTCAAAGCCCGATTAAGCTAACCCAGGAAAAGGTAGAATTTTGATTTGAGTTTTGTGACTTTGCGGTGAGGTTTTCTGTATATTGTTTGGCTTTCTGTTTTGAGTTTTAATAATCAACCTATACACAAAACAAAACAGTAAAAAACATTTGTATAGAAGAAAAAGTTATAATTTGGTTAACTTTTAATCCTGGGTTACCGTTAACCGGCTTCCGAGCAATCCTGCTCTGTTTCCAACAAGTTAACCTAATATGAGCCCGCGATCAAATCAATAACCAACTTCAATAATCAGCGGTCAACTTCAAAAAACACGTGACCTCGAGGAGCTGTAAACTTGAGCCCGTGATATGGTCAAGTGATACTGGTCAGCGGCTACCTTGTTTTGAAAGGTGTCAATTGATCATAACTTGGATGTCCAATATAAAGGAACTACACGGTAAACCAAGGCTGCATGTCTGTCAACCTATTATTTGGAGTATGGTCGCCATGTTGGGCAACTCCGTCGCCGTCGTGCGTACGCGCCCAGGAACAATACCGCTAGCCATGATAACCATGAGAAAATCAACTCGTGGGTTTCTTTTTCTTTCCTATATGAGTATAGGGCTCCGCTTGGCGGCCCTTCGGGCCGCCGGAGCTCCGCTATAACCAATCACCGTCCAGAGCAGAATCACCTAGCCAATCAGAGTTAAGCACTCAAATGGCTTCCGAGAAGCGCGGTCTTGAAATTAGACTCGCCACAAGTCGACCTTTTCTTAATCCTTAACTCACTTACCTCTCTCAAGTGAAGCGAGAGGGTAATCTTCGGGCGAAGAAGTCAGGAGGGCGAGCGCGAGCGACTTAGGTCGCGAGAGGTCGAGCTTTCCAACGGAGAAACTGACAATGGAAATATTATTGGAAAGGACTTTAGAAAGTCTATCTTGAAATCTGAGTATGTGTTTCGAAAACACAGTTCGGTTTCCCATTTAAGTTCACTTTCGGAAAAACAGAAGCGGAATATATCCAAATATGTCTTCGGAAGAAGCAGTGATTCAGTCTACAGGAGGAAACATAACTGATGCCGTAAAGAACGTCTTGGTTATTAACTGTGCAGTTAATATTCCTCTCGCCATAACATCAATAATCGGGAACTCCCTGGTGTTACATGCAGTTTGGAAGACGTCAACACTTCGCTCGCCATCTGTGGTCTTACTTTGTGGCTTAGCGCTTTCTGACCTCGCTGTCGGTGCGGTTGTACAGCCCTTTTTTATCGCAAACGATTTAATAGGACTGCTCTCTCAAGACCAATCGCTGAAAACTTTATTCGTGAGGATTTACAATGTACTGGCTTTCTATGTGTGCGGAATTTCTCTTTTTACGATCACCACAGTTAGCGTGGATAAACTTGTCGCCATTCAGAAGCCCTTACGTTATCCAAGTATTGTGACAATTCCTCGAGTAAGGCGAGTTCTTGTGGCTGTCTGGCTATTTTGTGTAATTTTAGTGAGCACACAGTTTTTGCACGACATGATTCAGCTCGTCGCAGTTGGAGTTGTAGTATGTGTTTGTCTTTTCATCTCAGCTTTTTGTCATGTAAAAATTTACAAATTTGTTCGCCATCATCAGCATTGGATTCAAATGCAACTGCACGCGGTTGAGGCTAACACTCCAAACACTGGAAATGTGAACAATAATATGTCAGGGCTAAAAAGATCTGCTTTGAACGCCTTAATAGTTTTTCTTGTACTCATTGTTTGTTACTGCCCTTATTTTATTGTTTTCGTCGTAACTTCAGTTTATCCAATCAATGTAATGCTTGGCAGATCCCTTACTTCAACTATAGTGTTCATTAACTCGGCTCTAAACCCATTCTTGTATTGCTGGCGAATACATGAAATACGGGAAGTTGTTAAACAGACTTCGCATAAACTAGTTTGCTGCAAATAATAATAAAAAAATCAGTGTATGTTTGTACAGCGTAAAAAGTAAACTTGAATCCCATAGTCCATTTTTGTCGTGATAAATACAATGCTCTCTACTTACTGTAAGGTACAATATTTACTCTTCTTACAATACGGCACGATTCTTATTCTACTTACAATAAGATACAATACTAACTCTACTTTCCATGATACAATAATTACTCTACTTACGTTTCGTTACAGTACGCTTCAACGCACTACAAACTTTGATCATTGGGAAGTAAAATCTTAAACTCGACCAATATAAAAATTACTGAGTTGGACGTGAAACTGTACAAACTGTATTGTATCGAACACTGAGTATGATTTTAACCTTTTCATTTCGTTCTTTTTTTCCAACAGATGGTATCACAGGCGTTGATCAGACAGGTCTTGTCGCCACGCATAGAATAAAAAAGCTTATCACCGATCTGAAGCAGTGTGTGTACATGGAGGCTTCAGCCCTAACAGGAGAGAACGTTGATCGTGTTTTTAATACAGGTTAGTGCTGTGCAGGTGTAAATCAGGTTTGTCAACAGTGGCTTTCGAGAACTATGATTTTAAGCTCTGTACTTTGATTTTGTGCCTTCCCCTGACCCCAAAAACTCCCCACTAAACGTGCCCAACCTTTAAAGATCTTTTCAATGGGCTCCTTTATCGATTAGCACCCCGAATTCAAATAATGGCCCCATTTTGTATTCCTTGTATAAACACCGTCACTAGTAAGGACCCTTTTATGACATGCATCATTTTCAATGTCTACCAGAATGCTGATGGAGTGAAAAGGTTAAAATATTTGCTCTCGATTGGGCTAGCTAAAACTTTCATCCGCTCTCTGTGATGCTTATCGAGAGCGGATAAGCGAGCGTTTAATAATATCTAAAACACAACGACGCACAAGAATCTATAAAGCTGTTTGTCTCGTACAACCATATACGCCATTCGTATACACTTCGAGCTCCCCCTCCGCCCCTTTTTTTCAGTCACGAAGGAAAGCGCGGCCATTTTTCTTTGCTCGCGGTTTTTCGCGTTACGTTTGGTGCACTAAGGCAGCGTCCTCCCTACGCCGGAGAAATTTGAAAACGCAGCTTTATTTCTACTGTTAGGCGAGCCCTCCACACTAATCCGTCGCGAATACGGAACTTTTCGAAGACGCTTTTCAAACCGGAAGAATTTTAAAACGCCTGCTTTTTGATGTCGTGTAGACCGAAAAGTACATTTTGAAAACGGAGCTTTTCGAGAACGATGGTATCACGATAATCATGTGATCTCCCTGACTGTGTTTTCCTCAGACACAAATCCAAAATGACCTGTGATAGTTTCATTTTCAAGTTCCTCCGGCGTAGTGTTAACGGGGCCTGAGGAAAGCTGCCCTTAGTCTGTTACTCGAGGTACGAGTTTAAACAATTGGAAATGCTAGGCTAGTGGGCTACGGAAGTAAAGTAATATCGACTCAGAGGGTGACATATCTGTTGTCAGCAAGGTCTGGTGTTCTGAAAATTTGCGCCATTATGTATTCGTATAAAACTCGCGTTTTGTTTGAAATTGTCTGTTTACCTTCCAATAACACAGAATTTAATTTAAACAACATTAATTCATTCCAAATCTGCAATTTAAATTTAAACTAAAATAAATTTAACAGAATAATGTGAACTGCGGATGAATCTTAGATTTTCAGATTCGCGTTTTTTGTCCTTTATTTCCGTCTTGTTATTAATTTATCTTCGGGTGCTTTTGTATGTTATTTCTTTCACGCCAGTGTGTTATCTGTATAATAATAATAGGCCCTGCATGTCCATTGTTTAGTTGTAGACATAACATTGTTATAATAAAACTGATTTTATCAGGCATTTGAATTTGCTAGCGGAAACTGAGGCTCCATTCACCCTACGCCGGAGAAGTTTGAAAAAGGAAGTTTCACTCTGAAAACGCATCAAATGTTTTCCGTCCACACTACGCCGGTGGAATTTCAGAACGCAACAATCACGAGTCATTTTGGATTTGTGTTTGAGGAGAACTCGGTCAGGGAAATCACATGATTATCTCGACGCCATCGTTTTCGAAAAGCTCCGTTTTCAAACTGTTTTCCGTCCACACGAAAACGCAAAGCCGGTGTTTTCAAATTCGTCCGGTTTGAAGAACGTTTTCGAAAAGCTCCGTTTTCGTGACGGATTAGTGTGGACGGTAGGCCTAACCGTAGAAATAAAGCTACGTTTTCAAATTTCTCCGGCGCAATGTGGACGGTGCCTGAATTTGGGACGGATTTTAATACATTATCCTTACAAACAGCGATATCGGCCAATCAGAAATCAGAACAGACGCTATGTGTTTGTGACCGTCGTGAAACACAGGAGCTAGGAGAGGTCACGCGGGCATCTTAATCATAAAAAAGTCGCTCGCTAAAAAGTTGCTGGAAAAAGAGATATTTTTGTACAGTGATTGTTTAGTACATTTCGCGACATTTTTTACCATCACATTGTATTGAAAATGTAAGCTAGAGAAATTTATAAAATGACAGCAATCAGTGTCATATGGGAATGTTGGAAGCTGAGTAAGGGATGGAGGGTGTAGACTGGGGAAGGTGAGTGTACATCACGTTTCATATTAAACGAACGTTTTATGTATAATCTACCCCGGCCCAAGGCCGACATCAAATTCGTGTTCTTACATGTACCAGTTACACATGACTTGCACAAAATCACTGATCACGACAATCTTAAAACTTATCCTCATTTCACGGATGTAATCGTGTCAGTCGCAGATTACAGCTCTCGACTATTTCGTATATCACGTTTCAGAAGAAATCATCAGCCATTTCACATTCACACCAAAAATGCCGCGACTCATCTTTTGCCGCCCTCCTCTGTCGAAAAAAAGTCGATTTGGTTGATTTAGGCGCCGTCCACACTAGTGTAAACGAAAAACATTTTGAAAACGGCGCTTTTCGAAAACGATCACATCACGATAATAATGTGATTCTCTTGGCCAACTTTTCGTCAACCACAAAACCAAAATGACCTGCGATTATTGCGTTTTGAAATTCCGCCGGCGTAGTGTGAACGGAAAACAATTGATGCGTTTTCAGGGTGAAAACGCCGTTTTCAAATTCTTCCGGCGTAATATGGGCGAGGTCGTGAACCAGGTCAATTGATGTCGAGCGAAAATGTTGATCGACCCAACCGATGTTTTTTTTTCCAACAGAACACGATAAAATATTATAACCATTCGAAAACGATGGCTGATCGCATGACTCATTAGTTTATCGGAGTCAAGGGAGACAAATTTAATTCAAAAATACATTTACCACATTGTATAAGGAAAATTTATTTTTCAAATGACACGTTTTTTGATTCGGCATTTTGTTGCAGTTTTTATGTCGGAAACAAAATGGGCATCATGCTTGAAACTACTAATTCTCTATTTATTTCCTTATACATAGTGAACTGTAATATTTGATAAATTCAAAAAAAAAAAAACATAGTAAAATATACATTGAAGTTTAGGATCTTTTTTCTCCCACAGAAGGTTTATATCAAGTGAGACGATGAAATATTTATACTTATGTTAAGTTAATTTTTTACATGGGAAATTTCTCGAACAACGCAGTTCTTTTGGAACAAAAAATGTTGATTTCAAATCTTACCACGTAACCATAAAATTATCCGTGACGACATCGTAGAACATTGTTCTTTTCAAAGAGTTTTTATATTTCTGTTGCCGGAAATTATAAAATGTGTAGAATCTGGTGAAAATGAAAGACTTTGCACGGATAAGTGAAAATTATTCGGCAGTGTTTCACGCTTGCTTGAACGTGACCGGAAATGACAAAAAAACACTGCGCTGTTATTACAAACGACAGTTCACTTAGAGGAGAGATCTGTTTATTGTGTTTTAGTA